TTTCGTCTTTGCGTATTGCAGAGTTATCTTCTCTTGTGAGCAGGTATTGATTGTTACGTCATTGGTTTGTGTGAGAAAATTACGGCGTTTTCTCAAATATTGATGACGTTTCTCTCACAAACAAATGACGTAACAAGAAATACCGGCTCACAAGAGAAGATAACTCTGCAATACGCAAAGACGGAATACAAACCGACAAAGCTTTAACGTTGTTTGTATACCGTGAAGAACGCCTTTACTTTGTGACACCGCCCAAGCAAGTTCAAGCCCTTTATTAACTTTAAGTGTTGCGCCGTTTGTCCCTAAAACGGGTAGCTTAGGTGTTCTTAACGCATATTTCTGGATTATCGACAGGGTGAGGTTGATAAAAGTTCTATTGTAGATTTGTTTGACTTGTTTAGTAATTTAAAATCAAATTCTTGTCATCGAGATAAATTTGTCACTTTATAAATAAATGTACATTTTATATACAAAGTATACCCACCTTATTACAATAAAGATTTAAAAAAATAATACAAAATAAGTTCTCCTGTTCAAAATGGCTTGTATTTAGCGTGTATGTGGTTCCTGTTCTGTTTGAAAAGACACAGCATAAGGCTGTGATGTCATATTGCTCGTAACTACCGTTTTCGTGGGAGGAGAAAAAAATCTGACAAACCAATATTTCACGGAATGTTTCTTTAAATACTCATTACATAAACCACCTGATACAAATCATTATGATACTATTTATAGTAGACATCCGGGGATCATATGACCCATATTTTGTACTTGCACTTAGGTGTGACTATTTGAACCCTTCAAAACGATGATAAGTTTGTTTTTTATTTGGGGTTTGCATCTGTTGCGTACAGTATCGCCACGAAGCTGTGAGGAGGTGGTTTGATCAGGGCTACGGTGTCTATCATTTATCAGCAAGTGTGTGCCACACCGGTTTTTAACTTCGCTCTGTTTTCTCTGAAAATTTCATAAAAAAATCTTGTAACCATATGATATTGAATTGTATGATACGGGTTCATATTTAGTGAGGCATTCCCTACTGTACAGGCGATCCAAACCACACGAAACACTGGAGCCCGTTCACACAGTGGGTTCCGGTAAGGCTAACAGCCAAATCACATAGTGAAGAGATAACACATCAAACCATCGCTGAAATCTCGGCTCTAAATGTCAACCTTTTATTACAATTTTTGATTTTAAGACGAAAAACTTATCTCAAGATTGTCAAACATGCTCAATGTTTATATCACTGGGTAGAAAAGGGAGGTAATTTATGGCCACGTGCGGACTGGAAGCAACAGATTATGAATACACGTGGGGTCGAGCCTGTCTTTGATGTGGTTAGATTTTTTGTCTAAAAATACAATGATAAAGATGCTTTAACGTGCTGACCTACGATTAGACGTCCTATTACGTACGGCTTAATGGGGTTTTGTAGTAACGTGTCTGTAATGCGTGATATCTATACTCAGGGACAAAATTGAAGAGTTTAGATTATCTAGTATCAAAACCTTCTGTTTCATTGTTAAAAGTACGATCAACTTGAACAAATTGTTTTACATACATAGATATATAAATATGTATGCAAAAGATCGATGCGACACAAAGTTCATTGTGTCGATAAAAATACATTTAAACAAAATTATATATAGAAAAAGAATTTTGCAAATGATTAACTTTGATCAGAGACCCAGCTAATGTCAAGCTAATCTTTACCTGTTTCTCTGCGGTAGCGGAAATTCTTTTGAAATCAGTCGGCGTTCAACCACTATCATTTAACAAATTTTCTGTTTTTGTAATTGGATATCAACACTTACAGATATAGGTAAGATTAACTTGCAGTGATGATATTGTGGTTTTTGTATGACATCAATGAGGGAGATAAATGAACACTATAAGGACAGTACTTGTTGAAAGTTGAAAGTTAATTTAATTTTCTGAGTTTGACTTCCTGTGTGAAGAGTACATTGTGGATTCAAGACCACTGTGATGAATAGGGCGTTACATTTCTTTGATTATACACTGATGAAAGTTTATAAAAAAACGTCAGCAAAATGTTGTTTTTAAGATTAAGGTCTAAGATGGCGGTTTTCATGATTTTATTTCAGTTGGGTCAAGTCTGTACAAGCTTTACAATCTCTAACCTGATCGACACACTCATTTCCATGAGGCATGTACGGAAATTATCAAAGGAGATAGTCTGCACCTCGGAAACTGCCAAGGGAGTTAGTGTGCACCGTCGGCAACTGTCAAGGGAGTTAGTGTGCACCGTCGGCAACTGTCAAGGGAGTTAGTCTGCACCGTCGGCGATTGTCAAGGGAGTTAGTCTGCGCCTCTGAAACTGCCAAGGGAGTTAGTCTGCGCCTCGGAAACTGCCAAAGTAGTTAGTCTGCGCCTCGAACATTCGAGTTTGTTAAGACATTATTAATGTAAATAATGCTACTGTTTACAAAACTCCTTCTGCAAATATTGTATTTTAAGATATGGTTTTAAGCATAAACTTGCTACAGCAGTCTGGTATTAACTAGTTCTTTAGAGCCAATATTGAAGACGTTTTGGTAAGAAAGCCGTTAAAACTATACGCTGTTCAAGGATTGTAGATTTTTCGGTAAAAAAAAAAAATACTGTTTGCATTATATCTTTTCTCTAAAGCTTTGGCCAAACACAAAAGGTACCCAGAGAACACGACTACGTCATTGATAACACCCACTATGTAAATGTAGATCGAAGTTAAATAATGTAACGTTCTTAAAAAGAGAACCGTTGTAGTAACAGCAAAACCATCAGAAACACCAAAGTACATATTCAAAAAGGTCGATATTCATCACTTAATTCTTCAACCATCAGCAGGAAGATAATGTTTTTGCTGCATACTTGTACTTTTCTGTGATAAAAACGACAAGCCTCACCACAATATTTAATGAGAAGTGAACAGATCCGTCTCGATATAAGAATACTCATCAACCTCTCTAATAATAAAGTGTATCGTGACAGATGAGCCTGGATTCTTGTCTTGCTTCTAAATAAACCTTACCCATTACAACAGAGTGATTTGTAAGTCTACTTCCTTCAAATGCTGAACGAAATTATGTGTTTTCTCACCAAATAGATTAAAACCATATCCCCGTTTTTTCTAGGGAGCTTTGAGTGAAGCGGATACTGTTGGCACTTTGTATCTGTATTATCTAAAGGTATTTAAATGCTAACGTTTTAAAACCTTCCTTCCATTCCTCAGAGGTAAATCATGAATGGAGGGAATATGTAACACGACATGACATTATCACCATGGTGATCGGTAATCGGGACAAACACCTTGTACGTGAACTGTTAGAGTTGCTATCAAGCTACTTCATATATCATCACAGGTCTGAATTCATAGATAGGCCCACTGTCGAATGTAACGTGTATCACATGTCTTTGACCCACTGTGGAATATAATGTGTACCACAGGTCTGTGTTCATGGATAGACCCACTGTCGAATTTAACGTGTACCACAGGTCTGTGTTCATGGATAGGCACACTGTCGAATGTAATATATATCCCATGGCTGTGCTCATGGATAGATCCACTGTCGAATGTAACTTGTATCACATGTCTTTAACCCACTGTGGAATATAATGTGTTCCACAGGTCTGTGTTCATGGGTAGACCCACTGTCGAATTTAACGTGTAGCACATGTCTTAGACCCACCGTCGAATGTAACGTGTATCACATGTCTTAGACCCACTGTCGAATGTAACATGTATCCCATGGCTGTGTTCATGGATAGACCCACTGTCGAATGTAACATGTATCACATGTCTGTGTTCATTGATAGACCCACTGTCGAATTTAACGTGTATCACATGTCTGTGTGCATGGATAGACCCACTGTCGAATTTAACGTGTATCACATGTCTGTGTTCATGGATAGACCCACTGTCGAATGTAACGTGTATCACATGTCTGTGTTCAGGGATAGACCCACTGTCGAATGTAATGTATACCACAGGTCTGTGTTCATGGATAGACCCACTGTCGAATGTAACGTCTATCACATGTCTGTGTTCATGGATAGATCCACTGTCGAATGTAACGTGTACCATATGTCTTAGACCCACTGTCGAATGTAATGTATATCACAGGTCTGTGTTCATGGATAGCTCCCCTGTCGAATGTAACGTGTACCACAGGTCTGTGCTCATGGATAGTGCAACTGTCGAATGTAACGTGAATCACATGTCTGTGATCATGGATAGACCCTCTGTCGAATGTAACGTGTATCACATGTCTGTGTTCAAGGATAGACCCACCTTCGAATGTAACATGTTTCACATGTCTGTGTTCAAGGATAGACCCACAGTCGAATGTAACGTGTATCACATGTCTTAGACCCACTGTCGATTGAAACGTGAATCACATGTCTGTGTTCATGAATAGACCCACTGTCGAATGTAACATGTATCACATGTCTGTGTGCAAGGATAGACCCACCGTCGAATGTAACATGTTTCACATGTCTGTGTTCATGGATAGACCCACTGTCGAATGTAACGTGTACCATATGTCTTAGACCCACTGTCGAATGTAATGTGTACCACAGGTCTGTGCTCATGGATAGGCAAACTGTCGAATGTAACGTGTATCACATGTCTGTGTTCATATATATACCCACTGTCGAATTTAACGTGTATCACATGTCTGTGTTCATGGATAGACCCACTGTTGAATGTAACGTGTATCCCATGTCTGTGTTCAAGAATAGACCCACTGTCGAATGTAACATGTATCACATGTCTGTGTTCATGGATAGATCCACTGTCGAATGTAACGTGTACCACATGACTATGTTCATGGATAGACCCACTGTCGAATGTAACGTGTATCCCATGTCTGTGTTCAAGGATAGACCCATCGTCGAATGTAATGTGGTGGGGGTGGGGTTTATCTCCCATCTGGGGAATCATCACAGACTATACGACGGACTTTGTTTCCACCATTTATTCAAAACCACAGCAACCGTAGCACAAACAAGACGTAACATAGAAAACACCCTACAATGACACAATAACACCCGTATAAGAGACTGACTCAATGTTTCACTGACATATTACATTATACACCATACAATGTATTTATAAAGTATAAAACCTATCAAACTCATTATATTTATTATCTGTAATTATACGGTAATTAATACTATATAATTTAGCTCCGTCACATATTCCATTATTATAGTGGCATTACTTGTAAAACTATGTGGCTCTATGGCCTATTTAATTGACTAATTAAATACTATCAATAATATACAATATCTGAAATACATTTTATCATTAATTACATTACATTAATTAAACGTGAACTTACTCTATCATTCCGACAGGGGCTAGCTCCGTGCTTGTACACTACACAGGTTACTACACAGGTCTACTAGACTTCCATTTCACACCTGGACCAAAATATAAGTGGTCCTTTACTAGGGGGTCATAATAATCATTTAGACGGCTATAGCTAGTTAACATAATGTTTAATTGGTATTTAAGTTTATTACTTAAAATAGAATGGTCTCTAACATAGACAATACTTTCCCAATATTCATTATACAGGTTGACCAATGCTAAAAATGGCAGGTAGAAGTAATTGGCTCAATAAAGCTTATTTTGAGATATAAAGTTATTAAAAGTTAGGGAGCTTCTTTGAAACAACCATGGGACAATATTTCCTTATTATAAAACATATGTAACACCCAAACGCATACCTGGTTCTCTTCTAAATTCTGGTATCAAAATGTTACACCCAGCATGGCTGCCAGTTTCTTGCACACAGAGGTAGAAAGCATGCAGGTGAGGGATACAGTTGAGGTGGCAGTCACATGACCAACAGGTACTTTACATATAGGTCACAGGTCACAGGACAGGTAAACATACACAGAAGCACATGGGACTGTTGACATCTGAACACATGGACAATGTTACATACATGACAGCACCATACACCACTATACCATACAACCTATGACATCATTACTTTAAACATTACTGTCACACTTGATATACTATACACATATTATGGACATTACCTAATGGTGGGAGTTATATATTTTGTATGAATTTCTGTAAAAAAACATGTAGTTTAAACTGTGAAACACCAGACAGGCTGTCTCCGCCACAGTAACATGTATCACATGTCTGTGTTCATGAATAGACCCACCGTCGAATGTAACGTGTACCAGAGGTCTCTGCTCATGGATAGATCCACTGTCGAATGTAACGTGTATCACATGTCTGTGTTCATGGATAGACCCACTGTCGAATGAAATGTGTACCACATATCTGTGTTCATAGTTAGACCCACCGTCGAATGTAAAGTGTATCACATGTCTGTGTTCAAGGATAGACCCACCGTCGAATGTAACATGTATCACATGTCTGTGTGCAAGGATAGACCCACCGTCGAATGTAACGTGTATCACATGTCTTAGACCCACTGTCGAATGTAACGTGAATCACATGTCTGTGTTCATGGATAGACCCACTGTCGAATGAAATGTGTACCACATATCTGTGTTCATAGTTAGACCCACCGTCGAATGTAACATGTATCACATGTCTGTGTGCAAGGATAGACCCACCGTCGAATGTAACATAGGCAAACTGTCGAATGTAACGTGTATCACATGTCTGTGCTCATGGATAGCCAAATTGTCGAATGTAACGTGTATCACATGTCTGTGTTCATGGACAGACCCACTGTCGAATGTAATGTGTACCACAGGTCTGTGTTCAAGGAAAGACCTACTGTCGAATGTAATGTGTACCACAGGTCTGTGTTCATAGATATACCCCTGTCGAATTTAACGTGTATCACATGTCTGTGTTCATGGATTGACCCAATGTCGAATGTAACGTGTACCACATATCTGTGTTCATAGTTAGACCCACCGTCGAATGTAACATGTATCAAATGTCTGTGTTCATGGATTGACCCACTGTCGAATGTAACGTGTACCACAGGTCTGTGCTCATGGATAGATCCACTGTCGAATGTAACGTGTATCACATGTCTGTGTTCATGGATAGACCCACCGTCGAATGTAACGTATACCACATGACTCTGTTCATGGATAGATCCACTGTCGAATGTAACGTGTACCACATGACTCTGTTCTTGGATAGACCCACTGTGGAATGTAACGTGTATCCCATGTCTGTGTTCAAGAATAGACCCACTGTCGAATGTAACATGTATCGCATGTCTGTGTTCATGGATAGATCCACTGTCGAATGTAACGTGTACCACATGACTATGTTCATGGATAGATCCACTGTCGAATGTAACGTGTACCATATGACTATGTTCATGGATAGACCCACTGTCGAATGTAACGTGTATCCAATGTCTGTGTTCAAGGATAGACCCATCGTCGAATGTAACATGTATCACATGTCTGTGTTCATGAATAGACCTACCGTCGAATGTAACGTGTACCAGAGGTCTGTGGTCATGGATAGATCCACTGTCGAATGTAACGTGTATCACATGTCTGTGTTCATGGATAGACTCACCGTCGAATGTAATGTGTACCACATGACTCTGTTCATTGATAGACCCACCGTCGAATGTAACGTGGATCACATGTCTGTGTTCATGGATAGGCCCACCGTCGAATGTAACGTGTATCACATGTCTGTGCTCATTGATATACCCACTGTCGAATGTAACGTGGATCACATGTCTGTGTTCATGGATAGACCCACCGTCGAATGTAACGTGTACCACAGGTCTGTGCTCATTGATCTACCCACTGTCGAATGTAACGTGTATCACATGTCTGTATTCATGGATAGACCCACTGTCGAATGTAACGTGTACCACAGGTCTGTGTTCATGGATAGACCCACTGTCGAATGTAACGTGTACCACAGGTCTGTGCTCATTGATCTACCCACTTTCGAATGTAACGTGTATCACATGTCTGTATTCATGGATAGACCCACTGTCGAATGTACAGTTGTGGAATCGCACAACTAGACCCACCGTCGAATGTAACGTGTATCACATGTCTTAGACCCACTGTCGAATGTAACGTGTATCACATGTCTGTGTTCAAGGATAGACCCACCGTCGAATGTAACATGTATCACATGTCTTAGACCCACTGTCGAATGTACAGTTGTGGAATCGCACAACGTTACACGATGTGCGGTGTGCGCCCGATGTGTGCACGGTGTGTGAACGGTGTGTGCACGGTGTGTGAACGGTGTGTGCACGATGGGCGAACAATAAAAAAACTGGACGATCATTACTTGCGCACATCTGTGCGCACGATGGACGGACGTTGTGCGATAACAATCGTGGTTGGTGTAAATTGAGGAGTGCCTTAACAATTTATACGGTTTCGTGTGTTTAAACATATACACTTGGTGTTTACGTATGTTTCTATATTCTAGCAACATCTGTAAACTTATCTTTCTGTCTATACATTCTTCTATTTAGAAATTATGTTTTCTGTGTTTTTAAACAAACTTAATCGACACATATAAAATTACAACACAATCCCGTATCAGAGACGTATAATACGTATTATACGTCTCTGTTACGGGATTGTGTTGCAATTTTATATGTTTCGATTAAGTTTGTTTAAAAACACAGAAAACATAATTTCTAAATAGAAGAATGTATAGACAGAAAGATAAGTTTACAGATGTTGCTAGAACAGGCATGTGATACACGTTTCATTCGGCAGTGGTCTATCCATGAACACAGACATCACAGATGTGCGCAAGTAATGATCGTCCAGTTTTTTTATTGTTCGCCCATCGTGCGCACACCGTTCACACACCGTGCACACACTGTGATACACGTTACTTTCAACAGTGGGTCTAAGACATGTAGACATGTGATCATTGTTACATTCGACAGTTTGCCTATCCATGAGCACAGGCATGTGATACACGTTAAATTCGACAGTGGGTCTAACTATGAACACAGATATGTGGTACACAATTCATTCGACAGTGGGTCTTTCCATGAACACAGACCTGCAATCGTGGTTGGTGTAAATTGAGGAGTGCCTTAACAATTTATACGGTTTCGTGTGTTGAAACATATACACTTGGTTTTTACGTATGTTTCTAGTATCCCATGGCTGTGTTCATGGATAGATCCACTGCCGAATGTAACGTGTACCACAGGTCTGAATTCATAGATAGGCCCCCAGTCGAATGTAACGTGTACCACATGTCTTAGACCCACTGTTGAATGTAACGTGTATCACATGTCTGTGTTCATGGATAGACCCACTGTCGAATGTAACGTGTATCACATGTCTGTGCTCATGGATAGGCAAATTGTCGAATGTAACGTGTATCACATGTCTGTGTTCATGGACAGACCCACTGTCGAATGTAACGTGTATCACAAGTCTGTGTTCATGGATAGACCCACTGTCGAATGTAACATGTACCGGAGGTCTGTGTTCATGGATAGACCCACTGTCGAATGTAATGTGTACCACATGTCTGTGTTCATGGATAGACCCACTGTCGAATGTAATGTGTACCACAGGTCTGTGTTCATGGATAGACCCACTGTCGAATGTAACGTGTTCCATATGTCTGTGTTCATGGATAGATCCACTGTCGAATGTAACGTGTACCACATGACTATGTTCATGGATAGACCCACTGTTGAATGTAACGTGTACCACAGGTCTGTTCTCATGGATAGGCAAACTGTCGAATGTAACGTGTATCACATGTCTGTGATCATGAATAGACCCACCGTCGAATGTAACGTGTACCAGAGGTCTGTGCTAATGGATAGATCCACTGTCGAATGTAACGTGTATCACATGTCTCTGTTCATGGATAGACCCACCGTCGAATGTAACGTGGATCACATGTCTGTGTTCATGGATAGACCCACTTTCGAATGTAACGTGTATCACATGTCTGTGTTCATGGATAGAGTCACCGTCGAACGTAACGTGTATCACATGACTCTGTTTATGGATAGGCCCTCCGTCGAATGTAACGTGGATCACATGTCTGAGACCCACTGTCGAATGTAACGTGGATCACATGTCTGTGTTCATTGATAGGCCCACTTTCGAATGTAACGTGTATCACATGACTGTGTTCACCACAGGTCTGAATTCATAGATAGGCCCCCAGGCGAATGTAACGTGTATCACATGTCTGTGTTCATGGATAGACCCACCGTCGAATGTAAAGTTTATCACATGTCTGTGTTCAAGGATAGACCCACCGTCGAAAGTAACATGTATCACATGTCTTAGACGCACTGTCGAATGTAACGTGTACCACAGGTCTGAATTCATAGATAGGCCCCCAGGCGAATGTAACGTGTATGTCGAATGTAATGTATACCACAGGTCTGTGCTCATGGATAGATCCACTGTCGAATGTACCGTGTATATGTCTTAGACGCACTGTCGCATGTAAAGTGTATCACATGTCTGAGACCAACTGTCGAATGCATGTATCACATGTGTTATACCCACTGTCGAATGCAACGTGTACCACAGGTCCGAATTCATAGATAGGCCACCCGTCGCATGTAAAGTGTATCACATGTCTGAGACCAACTGTCGAATGCATGTATCACATGTCTGAGTTCATGGATAGACCCACTGTCGAATGTAACGTGTATCCCATGTCTGTGTGTTCAAGGATAGACCCATCGTCGAATGTAACGTGTACCAGAGGTCTGTGTTCATGGATAGACCCACTGTCGAATGAAACGTGTACCACAGGTCTGTGTTCATGGATAGGCCAACTGTCGAATGTAACGTGTATCACATGTCTGTGGTCATGGATAGATCCACTGTCGAATGTAACATGTATCACATGTCTGTGTTCATGGATAGACCCACCGTCGAATGTAACGTGTACCAGAGGTGTGTGTTCATGGATAGACCCACTGTCGAATGTAACGTGTACCACAGGTCTGAATTCATAGATAGGCCCCCAGTCGAATGTAACGTGTATCACATATCTTAGGCCCACTGTCGAATGTAACGTGTATCACATGTCTGTGTTCATGGATAGACACACCGTCGAATGTAACGTGTACC